TATGACCCTGGGACACTGTAACCATCATAAATACATGTCAAGTGCCTGAGTTTGGATCACGTGAACATGGGGATGCTGTGATGGTAGTATCAGTTATAAGCCACTTCTCACAGTGCCGTTGTAACTTCTAATAGTTGCTAAATGAATGGTTATAAGTTGAGGAATACCCAAATGAATATATGGTGGAAGGGCTAGGGTGTTATGCATCACTTTCTTTTACTTATCTTCTTCTACATATTGCTGTAGTTTAACAAGGTTCCCCATCCTTCCCATTACTAAATTTGGTTGTGTTTTCTTCATTGCGCATCAGGCAAACTTTTAGAGGGAGAGTTGGCATATTTAAAACTTTTAAATAATTCTCAAGCACACTCACAGAATGGCTGCCAGGTGCCAGCCGTATCTATTCCGAAAAGGATTCTACATTCAGCATGACAGTTCATAATATAATCAAATACAGGCAATATGAAGTTTTCCAATATCACCTCTGGCTTATAGGATGCCTCCTATCACTTCATATTAGCTTCGTCTTTTTCTGGGAAGGAGGACAAACTTCCAAACAAAGCACTGGGCTGCAACTACCCACAATCTTTTATTTGCTGGTCTCTAGGGCTCATAAGAGGGAGGCAGAACTAAAGTTTGAGAAACCAGCACTATGATAACATACCTGTTTTTTTAACTTACTTTTTAAAAGACTGTAGTAGAAACTGAAAGTAGTGGAGTGTAGGACAAATGATGTCGTGAACTCCAAGGGAAGTTATCTGTGGATATATTGTCCATCCTGGTCTTAAAATGTAAGTAGTTAAGAACAAAAGTAATTTCAGATGTCTGAAATGTGACTTTCAATCTTTCAGTCCATGCTACTTACAAAGCCTTTCTCTATCATGGCACCTGTCCTCTGAATGAGATTCCCCCTAAAATCCATGTTGTTCCGACCTTATTGGCATTCCACATGGCCTTAAAGATGTGATTGTCCTCCCAAGTCTTGGTAGAAGGATTCCCTATTTGGTGTGTTTTTGTGTAGTGTGAGCATATCCCATCTGGTTTTGAATTCTGCTTTTATGGTTCAATTTATTATGATCTGCCCAAAGTCAGTTTAAATCGATCAACCAGTCAATTAATCTCTCAATCAAATTACAAATTAACTCAAAGAGGCAAATGTTTTCAACATACTCTCTTCCACAACAACCCTGGGAGATGGGCTGGCTGAGAGATAATGAGGTTCCTAGCTGGTTTTCATGGCTAAGGCAGGACTACAATTCAAAGTGTCTCGCTTTCAAACCTAGTGCCTTGACACTAGAATAAACTGTCTTCAACTATTTTGCACCACCCAAGATCACCTTTACTGAGATGGATGGCTATATAAATTTCATTGATTGATTGATTAATATAAGCTAACTCTTTCTTATTCCATAGAGAAACCTTCTTTGCTCTGAGAATCTTGTTTGTGATGTAAGGAACCTAACCATTTATGAATATCAGAGTATACCTTTGTATACTTTGTATATATATTTCAATCACTAATTTTTGTATTAACTAAAATATCAGCACTACCCAAGGCTGCTGCATTATGGGACAATATTACAGTATGATCCAACAGAAGGCAATTTCATAAACTGATAAAGAACCAGACAAGTTCAAAGCTAAGAACAAAAGTTCCAGAATACTAGTAGCATTATTTTGTCCTCTGAATTTCTTATAATTTTGATATCTAGTATATATACATTCTATTTATGGCACTTTCTATTCATAGATCTTTTTAGCATTGAGTAGATTCAAAATTTCTTTATCTCCTAAGATATTACCCAAGCGTTACACGTTAAAGAAAATTGGTCAGTAATACACGTAACAAAGAAATCACAAGAAAGTACAATTTTCAATGTATATTTTATTAATTGCAATAAATTACTTTAAAAAAAATTGAAGCTACATTACCTCAAAGCTAAGCAAGTAATTACTTTTTTTTAAAAAAAGTTGAAGCTACATTACCTCAAAGCTAAGCAAGTAATTTCATTTTTAAATGGATTCCATGCTACTTTAACTACACGGAAATATGTTTGATGGCAAATCTTGTTTTTACATAATGCTAGATGCTTTGTACAGAACATAGACATATTTTTGTAAATTATTAACAACATTATAAATACCACCATTATAATCCAATATACTATCTTCCTTCATTCTTGTTTGCCCTATATTTTCCACTTACTGATTTCATAAAATTACTGCTGAAATTCTTTTCCTCTTCATGGACAGAATACAGCAATTTGCAAAGTCAAGCAAGGATGAAAATGTGATTGAAATATAAGAGGTTGTTTTAATGCAAATGTTGTTACTGCATTATAATATTTTTCCACCTCTATTCAGCTGTTTAAACAGAATATTCTTAATTTTTAGACATTTGCAGCCACAGCTATATTGAGTATATGGTTTTAAATATATTTTTTGTTATTATATAACTATCATTTATATAACAATTGAATTTTTTTTACTTTTTTTATTGAAAAACTCAAATGATTTCAAGTGAGAGAGCCATTTCCATATAATTTTAACAATAAATTTAACTCTTGCTTTTTTTTTTTGTTTCACAAATCAAGTTTTGCATTATTTACAGGTAATAGCTCTCTATATCATTTTTATTCATGTTGATGAAACTGCCACTTTTCCCCAGCATTGTCAGGTTCCATCTGCACCATTTATATGGCTTGTAAGAGAAAATATTAGCTTACATTTCTGCCTAAACACGAAGCACTTACACTTTATTGATTGCAGTCTGCAGGTTTCTCTCTTAACTGTGAAGTCAATGACCAGGGTGTGTTAAATGATTTATATCAAATGAAAAGTGATAAGAAAAGTCCTTGAAAACATCATTGACTGTCATATCCATTTGTTAAATGCAACGTGCTGCTAATGTAAGTTCAGAATTGGAAACTAGATAATAAGTACTTAGTTTCTGGCCCAAAAAAAAATGTTTAAAGAACTACTAAGCTCCATCATTTAAAAATTCTAGGGCCTACAATTAGGAACTGCTGATTTGATATGATATGATTTGATGTGTGTTTTAAAGACATAGGGATATCCCAAAAGAGAACTGGGAAAATTTAGAATAGCAGCAAGCAAAAACAGGGAGTTTTTAGAATGAATTTTAATTTTAATTTCTACTATTTTACTTTCTACTATAGCCATTCTTCCTCTATAACAATGATCTTGGAAAGACTGTGTTGTAATATTGTGTCATTTCAATGGAACTCTGGCAAGGAACATGACTTTTCTTGCTTCTGAATCCCACCCAAACACTTCCAAAGTTATTGTTTGCCTATGGCTTGCCAGATTAAGTCATACCTCATGACCTCAAAATGGTTTTGCACATGGAAGGAAAGATGTATCCATAATTTTGGGCGAGTAAGAGTGATCCAGTGACTGAAAAGGAAAAGTATTTAGTATTAATCTGGACTCTCTAAAGTTCATTTCTTGCTGCTTTGGCAGCACTAGTTAGCACCAATTCGCCATGTGAGCTATGGTGGCGCAGTGGTTAGAATGTAGTACTGCAGGCTAACTCACTACTCATTCCTTTCAATTCTGAGCTGCTCAAGGTTGATTCAACCTTCCATCCTTCTGATGTCAATAAAATGAGGACCCAAATTGTTGGGGGCAATATGCTGACTCTGTAAATCGCTTAGAGAGGGCTGTAAAGCACTGTGAAGTGGTATATAAGTCTAAGTGCTATTGCTATATGAATTATGGTAACCAGTGGCTAGGCAGATCCAAGGTTTTGCTGGAAAAATTTTGATCCATTTCCATTTTGCCTTTTTCATGGAATTTGGTGCAGAGAAAGATTGCTTTTGTCATCCATTACTTTTGTTTATAAATAAAAAGAGTGGAACAGTATGTGTACAGCTTCCTGGATTTCTCAATCATGATGTTCTTCTACTCAAACGTATGGGTTTCGAGGCTATCAGAATCATTTACTAATGCTGAAATAAAAATGAGATTCTGTTCAAGAGATCAAGAGCCATTTCTATTTCTCTCACACCAGAGATACACATATAGACACATCAAAAGTTTCAATTTCAGATTTTTTCTATGTTCATGGATTTGGACTAATTTATTGCCAAGGAATAAACACTCTGCACATTCAGACCTGTAATTACTATTAGTGTTGAATTTCAAGACTGTGAATGTCGTATCTGAACTTCATTTCAAATACTGTTTTATTCCAAAACAGAAGTCAACACAAATGCTTATGACGGGCAATCAAGTATTAGTTCATTACCAGATTACATACTTTTCTCCTAAACAAATGGTATTTTAATCATATCTTGAGATAAATCTTTGCATTTTAGTCATAACTAGACAATCCACAACCTGCCAAGTCATCATTTCAGAGATAGTTCATTACCTAAACAAAGAAAGAGAATGACCACAGGCAGGCAGAAAAGGAGTGGGAGCATGAGTGACTTCCAACTTCCTGCCAGCTTCTCCATTGACCTTTCTTGTAGGAAGCTGACAGGGAGCTCTGGAATTGACAATCCACATGACTGCAACTCACCACAGCACTGAAATGGCCACAATTATGCCAAATTTCATCCCACGTGAGACAAAGACCCAGATTCTGGGCACACTGTGTACGTGCGCCCATTTGAAGGACATTGATTCAAGAAGGTTGTCCTATGATGCCCCAGCTGTATGTTACAATCCCACAGACACAAAAGTTGTAGTAATATGTAGATACTTGCATTTAGTAGTTTTATAGATATTTGCATTTGGGGAAAAATACCTACCTAAAGAATATCATAATCTGTCTAGTTAAAACCAATTATTAATTTCCATGTTACTTCCATATAAAAGATATACTTCTGCTATATCATTTCAAACATTACTTCTTAGCTTTAGGATCCACTTTTAACCACTGAATCAGCTGCAAATGGGGTTCAACAAGTAAAATGCTACAGCACTGAGGTTCTTTTAATCTAAGCTGTTTTTTCCCTTAGATACTCCCTTACCTGGTCCATCCCAGTCTTCTGTCTCAAGCATAAGTGGTCCTGGTTTATCCAAACGTGCATCTCCATCAGAATCTGCTGCTTCTTGGCTGCCCTCTTCATCACCTATTAATTTGCCAAAGAAATGTGTACCAATTAATAATGACTGGTTTTATTTAAAGAGAAAAAAATTGGAGATTCTGAAATAGAAATCAAAAATTTGTCATAAGTTGTTATGTATTGGCTTCAATTTTCTTTCCAGATATACAGTAAATGATTAGTTTGTTTAAACCAGGGGTCTCCAACCTTGGCAATTTTAAGACTTGTGGACTTCAACTCCCAGAATTCCTCAGCCAGCTCTGGGAGTTGAAGTCCACAAGTCTTAAAGTTGCCAAGGTTGGAGATCCCTGGTTTAAATGATTCCTGAGGTTCAGAACATCTTTTTTTTTCAGGTCTGGGAAAGTTTCCCTACCTGATTTTGAAATCTGATTTCACTACTGGAAAGTAACATGACACCGATGAGATTATACATTTCTTTACCAAGGAACAGCCAGCCATAGAAATGTTTTAAATAAATAAATTAAATAAATAAATATTCAGGTTTATTGGGAAATGCAGACAGCTTAGAAAACACAATGCAGTCAGAATGGACCCTGACACATATACATTCCAGGAATCAAACATGTCTACCATTGAAGTTTCAGATAAATAAAGGAAAAGAATATACTCAGGCTTATTATTTCTTGCCACATTATTGAAAATTTATTTGCTTGAAAAGCAAAGCACAAGGAAATTTGCTCAGTGGACAGGGTAACAATTCTTACAGACTACAAGATTTGTTTATTAATAAGAGAAAGATAAAATCTTTTGAGGTTCTTTAAGGAATGATCTGAAGCACCAGAATGATTTCAATCAGCCAAGGAGTATGGCTTTAAAGCAGTGTTTTTCAAACTTGAAATCTTTAAGATACGTGGGTACTGACAGGCATTCTGGGAGTTGAAGTCCATACATCTTAAAGGTGCCAAGTTTGAAAAACAACACTTTATAGCAAGGGCCTTCAAATTTAGAAAGTTTAAGACTTGTGGACTTCAATTCCCAGAATTCCCGAACTAACATGATTGGAGGAGGAATTCTGGGATTTGAAGTCCACAAGTCTTAAAGCTGTCAAGTTTGAAGACCGTTGCTTTAAAGCAGTGATCCCCAACCTTTTTGACGCTGCGGCCCAGTACCGGCATCAGCTGGGTGCCATCTTTTTTTGATGAAAAAGTGCTTCCGGTGACCTCACCGGAAGCACGTTTTCATCAAAAAAAGATGGCGGCACCAGCGCTTCCGGTGAGCTTTTCCGGGTAGAAATGGCTTTCTACTTTTTCATGAAAAAATAGATGGCGGCGCTCAGCAAGCCGCGGCCCGGTAGGAGTTGTTCCGCGGACCGGTACCGGTCCACGGACCGGTGGTTGGGGACCCCTGCTTTAAAGGAACTGCTAAACAAGGAGGGAAACACAGAGGCGTGACTGAATTTAAAAAAAGCTTATAACAAGTATTTATTGAGCATTATTTACAAATTGTTGATGAAATACGACTTGGAAATTGAAAAATTTAAAGGCTGTTTAATCAAATGGATGCGGAACTTAGATACAATATCTCATACTAGAACAGTGAAAATGAAAGACTATTAAATTCACGCTAAATACTATGCTTAGAAAAAACCTGAGAAGCTTGTTCTGTGTGTGTGTGTGTGTGAGAGAGAGAGAGAGTGAGTATGTGTGTGTGTGTGTGTGAGAGAGAGAGAGAGTGTGTATATGTGTGTGTGAGAGAGAGAGAGAGAGTGAGTGTATGTGTGTGTGAGAGAATGTGTGTGTGTGTGAGAGAGAGAGAGTGTGTATGTGTGTGTGTGAGAGAGAGAGTGTGTGTATATGTGTGTGTGTGTGAGAGAGAGAGAGAGAGAGAGAGACAGAGTATGTGTGTGTGAGAGAGAGAGTATGTGTGTGTGTGAGAGAGAGAGAGAGAGAGAGTGTATGTGTGTGTGAGA